AATCCAGAGGAAAATAAATCATTTAAGACTGGAATTTACAGTCTACAAAGAATTTGCCAAGAGTTGGTCCAAGATATTCCTAATTTGGCGCTTTTCCTATTGCTTATGGATTTAATAAAATAGGTACTTTATCAGCACATGCTTGAAGATACGAAATTAGTAAATGTTGACTGTTTAAATATGGAAACATTTGTTTTTGCAGTGAACGACCAATAAGCTTTCTAGAATAAGTAAGTACTATTGAGAAACAATCTGATCTAATGCAATTGAATAATTTTTATTTAAATGATTAAAACTGGTTTTATTGTTTTTTGAAAGATTATGGATATTTATATATGTTGCGAAGATCGCTAATTTCTGCCGACAAAACCCAATTTTTGCTTATCGGATTTCATTAAATTTTACGGAAAATTTGATTTTATCACTCCCTTTTATCACTTTGTTGTTACTTTTTGTTATTATATTTAAATAAATTACAAATTTTAAATTTTTTTTTTTATTGTTGTAACTTTGAATTTTTATTTCATTTCTCAATGATTATTTCCATAAATTTTATTTATTTTATTTATTTCTATAAATTTTTAAATTATATTAAAAATATTAATTATATAAGGTAATTTATTCAATTTATTCGTTATTGTTTTGACTTAATTGCTCATTTGTGAGATTAGAAAGAGAAGTGTTAATAATCACATTAACAATGCTATTTTTCAGAATCTAATACCATTTCATAAAAATAAGCCTTGCGGCAATAATAAATAAAACTTTTGTCTAAAACTGTTTTTTTTCCTGCAAGGCAAATTTAGGTTTGCAAATTTCAAATTAGTGCAGCAAGAAACGAAGCCTTAGAGAAATATTAATTGATATGCCAAATATTCGAGAAGAAATTTGCCCATTCATAGGACAGGCATTTTTGTTTATAGCCCAAACGAATTAATTAATGCCTATTAATTTTTTTTTTTTTTTAATAAATAAATGCAAATATTTCGTTTTAGCTTATATTTCCTTGGCTGTTGTTCCTAACAAACACATATATAACAAGCATAATTTTATTTAATTTTGACTGCAACAATAAATTTTATAACAATTCGACCTTAAATTTTTTAGAAATATAAAAAGATACAGTTTTTTATTGGAAAAAAACTGAATCCATAGAAGAGAATAGAAAATGGAAGGCTTGATGGACAATGTTTCCTATTTCGAAAGGACCTGTTTCACATACACAGAGTTCCACATATACAGAGATCTACATCGTTAATTTCCCGCAGTGTAAATGCGAATAATACAAGGCGATCTTTTCTAATTGATAACCATATTTTATCAATTAAATCGAATGCGCCAGTAAAATTAATAGGCATTAGAAAATTTTTGGAAAATTTTCCAAATTTTCGTTGTTTCCAAATTAAATTATATTTATAAATTATAAACTAATTTATTCGTCTTTAATTGGTTTAATTATCTAAATTCACTACACAACACTGAAACATCTACAAAATAGCATTACAAGTACCAATTCATATAAATCAAGCATATTGCGGCAAAATTAAATAAATATTATAAATAAATGAATATTAATAAATATAGAACAGCTTATCATTTATATTTGAGAGATTTAAGGAAATTTTTAGTGGTCAAACTAGTGCATCAGGATTCAAAAAAAGAAAAAATGGTGTGCCAAATGGTATGCCAAAAGATTCGAAAAGATTTTTGGTTACTCGTATGTAAATGTATTTTTTCCTTTTATTTTTCTTGTTTTTATTTTCTTTTATATTTTATAAATGAATTGAATTGAAAAAAATAAAATGAAAAAAATAAATTGAAAAAATTTGTTTGAAAAATTTATGAATAATTTATGGATAAAAAATTTTTGTTTTATTTTTTTATGAATAAAAAAATGAATAAAAATAAAATAAATAAATAAAACAAATTTTTTCTGAATAAAAGAATAAAATAAAAAAAATTGAAATATAAAAATTATATAGCAAATTATTATAAATTATCAAAAAATTATTAATTATTATATAAATGAATCGAATTGAAAAAAATAAAATGAAAAAATAAACTGAAAAAATTTGTTTAAAAAACAAATGAATAATTTATGGATAAAAAATTTTTGTCTTGTTTTTTTATGAACAAAAAAATGAATAAAAATAAAATAAATAAATAAAACAAATTTTTTTCTGAATAAAAGAATAAAATAAAAAATAAATAAAGAAATAAAAATATAAAAATTATATAACAGAATAAAAAGCGATAATCTTACCATAAATATTCAAAAATTAATTAAATCTACTTAATTAAAACTACCTACTCTTCTTTTACGCATTGACCGTTAATTTCAACAAATCCATCATTACAAGCACAGAATTGAGTGCAAGAAAATCGGTTTTGCTGATTGACGGGATTTTTCCAAAAAGAAATTATTTTCATATTTCTGCCGCAAGCCAATTGAGTTTGTCGGCAATCGGAATTATAGAATTTCTTATCAACTTTCGACAAACTAAATATTTATTAAATAAAATTTATACTGTAAAACATAGTTATTTCCTCTTCAACCTATAGATTTTTAAAAAAAAATTTTATTATAATAAAAAATTTATAAAAAAATTTTATAAAAAATTAAATTTTGTATAAAATTTTTAAAAAATTATATTATAAAAATTTTTAATTTAAAAATTTAAATTTATGTTATAAAAAATTTTTTATAATAAAAAAATTAATGAAATTAATTTTTCATAATAAAAAATTTTAATTTTAAAATGAATCAAAACGGCGCAATTCGATTGTATTTTATATTAGATTTTACCAAAAGACAAATGCTCACCTGGATGCTATAAAATCTGTTGTTGTTGTTGTTTTTTCAGATGTTGTTGTTATTTCCCTAAAGATCGAAGGTACTACACATTGTCCATCCTTTTCGACAAATTCATGTTCACATGCACATCGCATAATGCATGAGCCAAAAATTTCCATTATGATATTGAATATCATATTAATTCCACATTTATTTCTAATCTGATAACAAGATTCCAAAGTAATTTGTCCAAGGCGACAATATTCTTTTCCACATCGTGAAATGGGACGAGTGACTACCTGAAAATCCGAAAATTTAAAAGAAGTCAAAAGTTGAAAATTGAAAATTATAATTTTTTCCACTTTTTTATATTTTCGTTATTTTTATAATTTCGTAATTTTTCTAAACAATTCTTATTAAAAAGAATTTAGAATTGGATTTTATTTTCAAGAAATGTCCCTTCGTTAATTAGCTATCATCTCATTCACGCCATTTATAAAAAATTTGAATTTTGCTAGAAGCACTGGCAATTTTTATTCAAGTAACATAAATTTTTCGCTATTTCTTCACGGAGGAACTAAACCAAAAGGGAAATCCGATGAAAGAGTGCGGATCCACTTGCTGAACTTTAAGTGAAATCTTAGACAAAATCAACCAAATGATGCTTAAGCACTCATTTGATTATTAACTGGTTATATTATCATTTTTTCGCTCACAAAAATTTTCCACAACAAAGTCTAGACGATTCCACAAATACTTTATAAAAAAATGCACAATTTTCATAAGTCTTCCTCTGTTTTTAATTCACAAGAAATAAGGAACAAGCTGAATCCAAGAATTTGGAAATTGTCCTATATAATTCCCATTCATGAAAAAGAAAACCTATATGATCCTTCCAAATATAGCCTATTAGCTTATGCGTCGATATGAGTACTTAGAGAGATTGATTTGCAACAAGTTGTCGTGTTATTGTACTCTCTTAATGCCAACTCTCTCTTTCTCTTAATACTCTCTTAATTTCTCATTGATATTATCAATGATATTATCAAAAATATTTTTTTTATAACAATTCTAAAATTTATTCGATTATCTTTAAATTCTTAGCAATTTTTAAAAATTAACTATTCATTTAAATGTGGTAGTATTTAAATTAAGAATTTTCACCTCGATAGGTGGTGATTGAGTAATTTTCTTACATGAATTTTCATTACATTGCTCATTCAACTTGTTGAATTCCGCATTTGTACATGAACAATGCAGAATACACTTCGTCCAACTGGTGCGCCGCATAAGATAGAATTTAAAGATAATTTTTAATGTCATATTAATTCCACATTCATCTCCAGCTTGGTAACAATTCGCCACAATAGTTTGGTCGTTAACGCGATTTTCATTCTCACAAGCCAGAAGGCCAGCGATTTTTAGAAAACTCTTTAAAAATATAAAAATATAACATGAAAATTCAAAATTATTGAATTATTGAACTTAAATTTTATAAGTGAAAAAAAAATGTGAATAGAACTCAATGTTAATTGTTAATTGTCAATTGCCAGGTTTTTTTATAGGGAAATTATTTAAAGTCGCTTATCTAAAAATGAAATTTTTAATCATATTCAATTTATAAATAAAAAAAAAAGAAAATAATTATAATGGAAATTTTTTTAATATAATTTTGTTTTTGGCTAAAATGAATCCTTACTTTTGTAGCTTAAAGTTTCAATAGATTCTTTATACGAAACCTACTTTCCATTTCGAAATATTGCTAAAATATTAATATAATCTTGGATTTATACTCTTATACCAAATGACCAGGCGACTGGCGAAGAGCCCAGCCCAGATAACCACATGGCTAAAAGCGTATTCTTGAAATTTCATGGAAATCGTCATTTTGAAATATTCAACAAAACGAACGCTTGCATCCGTTTTGTTGTACCTTCTTACTATCTTATCGTATATGTGCAAAGCATAGCCAATGAGAAGGAAGAAAATCAAGAAAATTGCCCACCTTTGACTATTCACGCCTAAGGCACGCTTTACAACTTATGGAATCTACATGATTTCATCCATCTTTGACATCTTTTTATTGATTATTCAATGCATTAGCTTTTATTTTTATGTAAATTAAATTTAAATTTATAGGTATGTAAATAAGATTATTTGATTTAATGAGATTTCCGCAAAAAAGAGATATAATTTAAAATAATGAAACTATTAATCAATAAAAGAATATACAAAGATCCGTTGAATTTACAGCTTTCTTCAAAAAATATTTTAAGATTTTTAAACCATACAACATATTTGATTTAAATCATTTTTTATATAAATTTATTTCTTGCAACACTATTCTTTTTTAATATTAAACTGTAAAAATTTTTAATTTTTATCGAAAAAATTTTAAAATTTTAGGCAAATTAAAAAGAAAAATTGGTCGTTTCATCTTCATCTAATCGTTGATTAAAATCGTTGTAGTTGGGTAAAAAATAATTTGGTTTTTTTCTTTTCTCCAAAATATTTTGGTTTTTTCGAAGACTGCTTGTTAAGTTGTCAATAAGAAGCGAGAAGTTTATTTATTGTTTTTAAAAATATATATTTTTGTGTTCGATTAACTCCACTTATCAACTAGAATAAACTTGTTTATCAACTCGGTCAAATCACTAGAACTGTTACATTTATAGAAAAATCTAGAAGGGGAATGATATTGTCAAAAGTAGACCAAAAGACCAGTCACATTTAAGAATTTAAGCTTTTCGCTGTTTTGTCGTTAAAATTTTCGCCGTTTTGTCGTATTTTCGACTATTTAAAATTCTTCATCGATCATTTAAAAAAGGATGAATTAAAAAAATATTTGCTAATCATACTCTTTGCAACTCGCTCTAAGCCATAAAATTCATAATTTTTGTCTGACGTCTTTCGACTTATATTTATTGTAATTATTATAATATAATTATTCGTGTTTAAATTTAAAATTGCTGGTCACTTATCTGTAGTTCTATGTCCAAAATTTATATACTAGCAAGTTTATCCGGAAGCGGTAACAATATAGTTATTAGTTAAGAATATCGCTGATCTATTCAATTTCCATAAAGCTGATCTTAGCTGATTAGCTGATCTTTAAATTACATATATTTTATCGTGATATGCCTTGAAAATCTAAATGATGGATATCGCTCCCAGAAGAATTTATGCTAGCGCAAGTGTTTATCACTTGTCATTGCTTAGATACCCGAGAAATATATAGCGAGAAAGAAGAAAAAACTAAAAAAATGCAACTGTATATCCTATGAGCCGTCAGATGCGAACATCTTTGGAGGTATGTTGTTCCCTCAACAAGAATAGTTGATTCTTTTTTTAGATTTTTTCTTTTTTAAATTGAAAATTGAAATCTATAGGACAATAAGGAAAGATTGGTTCATAAGGATGGGTCCTCTAGATCCACGTCAAAATTCGACTTCACTCGACAAAACCAATATAGCACCTAAGAAACGAAAAAAATGATTGTAGCTGCGTTTTATAGTAAGGGACTGGAAGCTACTGCAAATAATTCTAACCGACACTATTCAACGGATAAGGTCTTATCAGTTTGCATGATACATGATAGCATATCGCAGGAATTATTTGATAATAAATTTGTTGATTTTCAAGAAAACTATGAAAAAATTGAAATATTAAATAACAAAATTTTCTTTCAAACTTTTTTTCGAGAATAGCTAATTAATTAATGCCTAATATTAATATTTAATTTATATTTATTCATCCTTTTAAAAATTTTTTATATTTTGTAATACTTTAATATTTGTAGTATTTTAATACTGTTACTGTTTTTATTTTTTAAAAATTTTTTAATGATGCTAAAGTTTTAATTTTATTCAATTTTTATTATTATCTTTAATTATTACAATTATAAGGATTTCAGTTATATTTATTTTCTCATAAAAATTCTGAAAAAATGAGAAAAATTAATTTTTTTAAGCTTAAAAAGCTTCTTTTTTTATTTAAATTTAAATCTTTTTAGATTAAATTTCAAATTTACGGCTATGTGCAGTAATGTAAAATCATTAAATAGATAATTCAAACAGATTGATACATAACTGATAACTGATATAATTGATATATATGTATATATATAGGTCATTTTTTTAACATTATTTTTTAGCATAAATTCATGAGCTTTAAACGTGCAAAAATATTTTCAAATTTACGGCTATGTGCAGTAATGTAAAATCATTAAATAGATAATTCAAACAGATTGATATATAACTGATAACTGATATAATTGATATATATGTATATATGTAGGTAATTTTTTTAACATTATTTTTTAGCATAAATTCATGAGCTTTAAACGTGCAAAAATATTTTAGGATATAAAATATTATATGTCTTTCAATTTAAATATTAAATTTCATAGATTTTAAATCTGAAGAACGCTAGAGAATCTCAGATAGCAAGAAAAAGAGGACAATGTTTAGCAGCGAAAAATCGACCGTTCAACCGTAAATCTCATAGTACTAAGGCTTGGCTATGTATGAACGATTAGGAAATAGGTTTGTCTTAAAGCAAAAAAATGTTTTTGCTTTAGATCCCCAAACTCTATAGATTTTAAATCCAACTATAGAGATTTGGTGATATAAAGTGCATACTACAAAAACCCATACTACAAAAACAGTTAAAAGACTAACAAATACCCAAAATCTTCTAAAAACAATGCACACCAAATATCAATTCAAATGATAAAAAATTTTACCAATCACTACCACATTTAACAAAAACGTGACAAAACGCCTTACCCTATCACATCAAAAAGATAATCAGGAAAAGCACCTGTCAGACTATCATATCTTTTCAGATCGACCTTCTCTATGCCAGCCGTTCGATTGCTCATGAATTGTTCGATATAAAATGTTAGAAATATTATTTCGGGGCCCTAAACTTTACTATTAAGTAAATTGAAAACCCAAATTAAAATCATTTTTCTCATTTTTTATTAAAAAATAAATAAATATAAAATTTTTAAAAATTGTAAGAAATAATGAATATTATTAGAAAAAAAAATTCTTCATTTATTTCTGAAGTTAATTTATTAGTTTAAAGTTATTTTAAATTTTAATTTATTAATTTTTAATAAATTGATTTCGCATTTTTGCATTTTTTAATTTTTTGCATTTACAAGATAAATTTTCCAAATTTTTTTCAAAGCCATAAATAAACAAAGTATTATAAGTTTAAATTGTTGTTAAGGCAAAAACAAGAGTGGCAAATGAATAATGAAATAAGACTATATAGAACTAACCAAAATTAGGAGGCAACCGAAAACCATAGCGTTACACTCGTCAAATATATTTTTCATAAATTTAGAAATTTATAAATATTCAAATAAGGGCTATAAAACCAAATTTTAATCTGATTTTCGGTGACCAAAAATCAACCTTTTGTCAAATTATTTGCGATTGATGCATACAATTATCACCATTATCAATTACCAGCTATTTCTACATGAATTGCATAAACTATGTAAAAAGTTAATAAAAAAACAAAAATTATGAATGGTAATTTATCAGTTTTTTGCAAAGTTTTTTTAGTTCAAAGCATTTCTAAGCATTTAAATTTATTATAAAAATACAATTTTCAAGTGATGCTCGCCATTTGATTCTATTTCTGTCGACTCGGCTACGGCTAAATTAAACTCTGAGAAGTCACATAACACTTTGTATAGGAGGTGAATATTCTTAATGAATATTTCCACTTTCATTTCCACCTTCTTGTCCAATTTGTTTGCTCCAATTCGCTTTCATCAATGAAACGAAATTTAGATTCGACATGTATAAAAAAAAGGTGAAAAAGGTTTCCTTTGCAAAAAACCAATTTTATTGTTCATAAATAGCAAAATCCCGAAAGAATTAGTAATATTTTATGGAAAATCATCATATGGCAATTTTATTTTTTCATTTAATTTTAGTGCTGAAGTTTTGTTTTCTTTCTATGAAATTTGGTTTTAGATTTGGTTAAAAGCAAACGAGATTTTTCTTTCGAGAAAATCAACCAGTTTTATAATATTAATATTGCAGTAAAATAAAATTTTATGGAAATTTATCACTTGGACATATATTTAATTTTTTTCATTCATATTCATTTATCTTTATTATTGAAATAAACTCTTGTTTAAGAAATTTAAGAAATTTAAATAAACGTGAATAATTAATTATTTATACAAAATTATTATTATATAAATTATAATTATTAAATTATTATTTATTATTTTTTTCTTATGAGTGATTTAGGAAATTTGCAGT